TGTGCCCTCAGAATGGGAGGTGCTGTGTTTACATTTAAAGGAAATGCGGTCTGCACTTTCATTTTTGACGTGGACCCCAGTGTTGTCTGTGTGAGCAGTGCACAGGCAGGAAGGAACAGCTCTGAGGCAGTGTGGGCTGGCAGGGGACACAGGGTTAGGGATGATGGTGGGGAAGGTGAGCTCTGAGGATGGACCCAGGTGAGAGGGGAGTTGTATCCCACTGGGCTCTGGGTGGATTCTCTCCAGCACTGGGACAGTGCTCTGGGGACCTCTCTCTGGTATTTCCCTCTCCTGGCTGGCTGCAGAAGGCCCTTTCACTGTCAGGCTGCAATAGTTCAGAAAGGGCTGTGTGAGCCTTGTAGGGGTCCTGTCAGCCCTCCCTCACCCACAGCCCCTGTCAGCCCCCTGCCAAGGGGGCAGAGAGGAGATGGAGGCTGCTGTGTCTGGGCTGTGGTGCCTGCAGGACGCCTTGGGCTGGCTCACTCATGGCAGCTCATGGCACTGACAGCCCTGGGATGCCAGTAGAAGCCCTAAAGGGGGAGTGTGTCTGAGCTGAGACTTCTGCAATGCATGGCAGGAGGTGACATCGGCCTTTTTGGACAGACACCTCTAACCTGTAGCACTTCTCCTGCATTGTGATATTTTCTCCTTTTATTCCTAACCAATTTCCACTTCTCTAAAAGTCCACGCCTTCTCTTGCTGTTTTAGAGCATCCTTCTCCCTTCCTGCTCAGTAGTCTGGCAGGACCAGGTGCCTCTGGGGCAGGGTTGAGCCAGAGGCTGTCAGCCTCTCTCGTGCTTGCCAAGGCAAGGAGCTCCGTGCCAGCACACGTGCCCAGGGCAGGTGTGAGTGCAGGCTGCAGCACCAGTGGGTGCTCAGCTCAGGATGCTGCTGGCTTCAAATGGTCCTTGGGCACAGACAGTGCAGACTCAAGACCTGGCTCCACAGAAGGGTTTGGCACGGGCTGTGCAGGGACAGAAGCAGGAGGAGCTGCCAGCCCACAAATAACTTCCCTTCCCCTGGGAGGGAAGTGCGGCTGGTGTAGCATCACTCCTCCAGTGTATGTGACTTTTGCAGCGGAATGTTTTTGTATATTTGGGGGACATTTAAGATAAGTCCAGGCTGGGGAGGGTTTGATTTTTTTCTAGTGGGTCTGGCCTGCTGTACTCTCTGGGGTTAGGCTTGCCTGAGCAAAAGGCTGAGTGAGCAGAACATGCATCTGGCGACCCCATAGCCCTCATCTTGGATCCTTGTCCTCCTGTATTGCCCTTGTCGCAGTAAGCTGCACTTGCACAAAGGGGGGGTTAGAGGCATCCCAAAGACAAATTCTGGAGATTTATAGTGCTGCTGAGTCTTACTATAACTGACTTTTTTCTGGGTAAGAACCCTCTCCATTGATGCACATTTCTCTGTGTATGCAGATAAATGCATTTGCCAAACTCATTCCTCTTTTTGATTTAAACAGGGCTCCCCTGGGTTGAAATACTGTAGCAGGCTGACTCCAACGAAGTTACAGAGCAATGCTACAGCAAGGGAAGGCCCCAGATTGCAAGCCCAGAGAAAACATTAGTATTGCATGAGTTGTAGCCTGACAAAAATAGGGGAAATAGCTCATTCCAACCCCCACATCTGAAATGGTAGCAGAGACAGCCCTGGACCTATCTCAGGCAGGAAAACCACTCTACTCTTCTTTGAAGTTGAGATGGGAGGGCTCACTGTGTGAAGAGCTCAGAAGTGCCCCAGTGCTTGATTTTCCCCTCCCTCTCTTTTGACACAGAATATTAATCCTGCTTAATGTAGGAAATACATCATGATCACAGCTTTGGGATGCAGAACAGGATTTAATCTTAGGAAGGTAATGGGTATTACTCACATCTCCAGTGGGGCAGCTGTCATTCAAGGACTGTATTTAGCTTCAGGACTTCCAAAGGGATTCACCTGGCCCTGTGTCCATATGAGGCCTAATGAGTCAGTCTGAGCTACACAGATCAGAGTGATGAGCTGTGTGTGATAAGCACGCTATCCAGTTTGTGCATGTGCGCTTCACATGGGCAGAGCAGCATCCCTGAGTCCCAGCTGCATCCAGCACTGGCGAGATGGAGGAGAGGCCCTGGATGCTTGCTGAAGGGAAAGCAGGGAAATGCTGATGAGGTTGTTTCTCCTATTCCTTCTCTCAGTTGTACTGGTAATTATGAAGCTTTGTACGCTGCAGTTTGGAACTGTCATGCCCTCATCAGTGTGCATGCTCTGAGCACCATAATAAGTAATTCCTCCTGGCTGTCTCTGCTAATCTTTCTCCTCTGTGCTGTAATGGGAGGGAAGTTGGGCTCAGCCACAGCATGTTAATGGACTGCAAGGGAGCCAGCTCAGAGCAGGCAATGGGGAGCTGGTGGGAATAGGGAATGAAAAAAGTGGTACAAGTAGTTGCATGGGTGCCCAGAGTCAAAAATCTGCTGAAAGTTTTTATGAAAACAGTAGTGATAGATGGTGAGAAGGATGCACTGTACATTTTTTCACAGGGCTTAAAAAATTATGAGCAGCATCCCAAAACCAGTTAGGAGACATGGTATCTGTTCTTTCCAATAGCTGCAGGCCTTTGGGATAATGAATTCCAAGAGTCTCTCCACTATCCCCTCAGGGACACTGTGTCTGCTTTCTAAACCCCTGCACTTGCTGCTCTTTATTCTGACAAATACCAAGCCTTGAAGAACAAGCAAAGCTTTGGATCAAAGTGTCTGTTGGAAGCAGGAGGCTGAGGAAACAGGATAGGTAGGCAGAGGTTTCAGGGTCTCATCTGGGAACCATGGGGCACTGCAACCTGAGGTGGAGTGGTTGGCAAGCCTGGCAGATGAGTGGTGTGGAGAGCATTGGAGATCACAGATCCAGCAGTGTGAGCATCAAAAGGGCCACGGGCTGAAATGTCAAGGGTGCATTGCTGAGGCAGAGCAGTGTGAACAGAGCCCCTCACAGGGTTTGTGAGCCTAAAATGAAGAGAGCTGAGACAAGTGCCAGGGAGGATAACCTATGGCCAGGATGTGAGGAGATGAGGTCTGGACAGACACATCCTTTCCTGCTGTTCATCATCCCTTTCTGCTCTGCAGTGTGTCTGAGGGCTCTTGTGTGGCTTTTAAATCTGCACCTGCAGCATGGGCACTCCAGATGGTTGAGCATGCCAGTGGGGTGAAGGGAAGGCAACCAGCAGTCATTGGCCAAGCTCTCTTTCCTGAGAGTGTCCCTGTAACACCCCTCCAAAGCCAAGCCTTGGAGTTTATGTAATTCCCCTCAATTTGAGAAGTCACTTCCACTCTGCTATTGCATGCACAGCACCCAGGCAGCAAAATGATATTTTTAGTAAAAGTTTGGTGTAGTTGCTCTGTAGTGTGCAAGAGTGTTGTGGTTCAACCCTGGGTGGCAGCTAAGCCACGCACAGCTCCTTACTCACCCCCTCCAGCTGGAATGGGAGGAGAATCAAAAGAGTAAAAGGGAGAAAAAGGCAAAAAGGTGAGATAAAGGCAGTTTGATGGGTAACACAAAAGTTGTGTACTCAAGTAAAGCAAAAAAAAGGAATTTATTCACTTCTCATGGACAGGCAGGTGTTCAGCCATCTCCAGGAAAGCAGGACTCCATCACAGTTGGGAATACAAATTTTGTCACTCCAAATGTCCCCCTTTCTTCCTTCTTCCCCCAGTTTCATGAGCTGAGAATGATGTCATATAATATGGAATATCTCTTGGGTTACTTGGGGTCAGCTGTCCTGGCTGTGAGCCCTCCCAGCTCATTGTGCACCCCCACCCAGCTCACTGGGGTGATGTGGGAAACAGAAAATGCCTTGGTGCTGCGTGAGCCCTGCTCAGCAGTGACTCAATCATGGGTATCATCAACCACGTTTCCAGTACAAATCCAAAACACAGCCCTGCTCCAGCTACTGTGAACAAAATTAACCCTTCCCCAGCCAAAACCAGCACAGGCTGCCAGTGAGCTTGAGACCTGCTCTTCTCATGCCCACCCACTCCCTCTGACCATTGTTTAGGGAAATAACTTTTGCAGCTCGTGTTCGTGGTGTTTCCACTGCTCCAGCATAGGAGAGCTCAACAAGCTCGAGTAAAAGGTGCCTAATGTTTAATCCCGCTTGTGTTGCAGCTCACTGCTTGAATTAGTGGCTGCTGTGTATGGGTTTGACATGCATTTCTCAGTGTCAGTCTGATGGAGCCTGTGCAATGGTGAGACTCAGGGCCAGCCCAGAGTGCCCTTGGATAGAAGAGCTGGGCCAGCAAAGTGCACCTGGAGCTGGCAGGGCTCTGTTAGGGACTGCCAGGGCAGGATGGCTCTGTTGTGTGAGGATGGGCCCGTGCTGTTCAAAGCATTGTGCTCTGCTCTGGTGCTCAGGCTGCCTCCAGAAGAGGGGCCAGCATCCCCTCAGATGCTGCAGCCCTCTGGCAGGGGTCTCAGGGGCTGCAGGGAGGGTTTAAATGGTGATGGAGGGGAGCAGCCAGAGGAGTCTTGGTGGAGAGGTGACTGGCAGAAAAGAGCTTAAAACTGCTTCAGCACCAAGTGGTTTATCACTTGTCAGAGCCATCAGTCCTGCAGCTCTCCCCTGCTCTGCACTTGCTAGGAGAGCCCAGATGTGCTGTGCTTTTGCTGCTGGTTCCTCGTGGGATTTAATGTCTCTTTCTCGCCTCCCCTGCAGGGGTTCTCGCTCGTGGCTGGCATGGCAGAGTACGTCCCCCAGGCTGCCTCCACCTGGCCTGCAGGCCCTCAGCCCCCTCACACTCCTGCCAGCTGCCCCCTGGAGCCTGTGGATCTGGGCATCTCGGAGCAGCCAACGCCACCGGAGCAGCCGCCCTCCTCCCTGGAGCTGGGCGAGGATGAAGAAGTCACCTCCCCTCCGGATCCCGACGTCCCCTACCCAGACCTGGCCCCTGTTGTCTTCTTCTGCTTGAAGCAGACCACCAGCCCACGGAGCTGGTGCATCAAAATGGTGTGCAACCCATATCCTTTCTGAGCTGCCCCTTCTTCCTCCCTGCCTCTGGCTCCCTCCCGCCCCGTCCTCCCCTCAGCCTGCCCTCCTGGGGTGCCTTGCAGGTAAGGAATAACTTTTATTACGTTTTTAACAACCTTCTTTGTTCATTGCTTATGCTTAAACAGAACCTTTGCTGGTGTGATTAAAGGACATTGATTATGAAAGAAGGGACTTCAGGAAGAGCCACTGACAGTCCCAGGCACAGGGACTGGGAGTAGGGAGAGTGGAGGTATGAGGAGAGGTACATTAGAAAGCCTGTTCTTCCCCTTCCCAGCTCCCTTTTTGCCTGGGACAGAGTAGGATTTGCCAGCCCAGGAGCTTTTCAGACTGCCATGAGCAGTGGAGGTGTCTGAAAACAGAGGCTTTACTGAGAGCTCACCTTGCCTTAGTGAGGGAACCACCACTCCTTCTCCACCCTGATTGCAGGGAAACCCAAGTGACCCCTTGCCTTTCCATGTAGTACATGCCACTGTCCTGCCAGGGCCTTGTTGGGATGTCTGGCCAGCAATGAACAGGGGAGTGTGTGCTCCACACAGCCTGGGAGAGATCTCTGGGACATGGGCACATCCTCCCCTCCATGGTCAGCAATCACACACAGGTGTTGTCACTCATGCATTGGCACTGCTGGGCAGCAGGGACCCTCCTGCCATCGAGTCTATGATGCCTGCAGCATTTAATTTCCAATGAAATCCACCTGCACAGCTCATCAGCAGGAGCCTGCCAGCGTGCCCTGTGGCTCCAGTGGTATAAAAGCCAGGTAGAGAAGAGCAGTTGTTCCCTGAGCTGTGGGATCATGGACGGTGTGGAGGAAATGCAGAAGAAGATGAGTCATCAGAGAGGTTGGTCTGAGATTTATGGGAATGTTTTCCTAGCTGGAAATCTCAACTGGCAGCACTTTCTACCAGGAAGTTCCTTAGTTCCTAGCTGGGTGGGTATTAGCTATGAGGATGCCTGCTCTGGTTCTGATGTATAGACTAAATCTGAATGTCTGTGCATACAGTGGAGCCTAGCAAAATGTTTCCAAGAGTATTTTCAGCTTTAAGAGCCTAACCCTAGGTGAGGACTTGAAGTAGTGTCAGCAGTAACAGCTGACCTTAAATGGATGAGATTTGTTTTAATTTCAAGTGTAGGTAAAGGTTTGTGTTTGAGCTCTGAGCTCTTGTCTTAAAGTTCAAAAGCCACTGAAGAGAGGTTGCAGTCTCAAACACAAGTTGTGGCTGAGAACACATTGGAGATTTAGATATTTTGCTTTCTTTTCCACTGGCTGCTCTATAAAATTTTAAAACTTTGTATTGAATTATGCATTGCTTTTCTATCACAGTGTGCCTGTGCTAGTTATTATGTCCTAGGAATCTTGTCCCAGCATGTGGTAGAGCAGGACTCAGAACAGGACTCAGAGTAAAGCCCAAGACATTTATGTCACGATAAAAGGCTGGATTTGGGAAGTGAAAGAAGAGCAACAGCGTGGGTTTGGGATGAAGGCTTGCTTTTGGATGAGGGAAGGAGGTTGTGGTGGAAGAGGAGCCTGTCCTTATTGCTGGCTAAAAAGTCACTCAAAGTAGTCCCTCCAGTCTGGTATATTGCAAGGAGTTTGCTTTAAGTTGTTGGAACTACTATTCAAGAAATTGGCCTGTTTCAGTTTTTAAGTGTTACTTTTGTCCTAATCTGCAGACAAATGTGTTCTTTGACTTGTAAAATGACTTTTTCTTATTAGAAACTAGACAAAGGAGGAAAAAGCCTCATCCAGTCACCTGTTGATGACCTTACATGTGGCCACCAGGGAGTGAAGGGCAATGGTGGGGCTGCTGGAACCTTTTGGAGGGGTTGTGTCAAACCTGAGGTTTCAGCTCAGCTGCGTGACATTGGGAGATTACAGGACTAGTGGAGACTGAGAGGTGAGGATTCAGCCCCTCCTCTGATTTCCTTTCAACCCCTTGTGCTTCTCTTTTTAAAAGGCTCATGAAATAAATGTTTACCTTTTTTTTTTTCCTCAAATGAGGGGTTGCTTTTGCACCCTGAAGGCTTTTTACATGTAATCATATGCTCTTGGCATCACACTTTTTTTTAACAGCACCATAGACAGGATACATTTACATGGCCTGGTGGCAGATGCCTGGCTGGGAATCAGACCCTTCATAAGAGACACTTCTATGAAAACCAAATCATCTCTTCTAGGAATTGATATGCTTGCCTGCTTTCCATCCTTGTTACACTGAGCTATTGGGTCTCCAATGTGCTTAAGCTAAGCAGAGGCAGGAGGAGCCACTGTCATAGGTCAACACCTGGCCTTTTGTGAAGATTCAGCAAAAAGATGGGGCATTCATTAAATGCCTATTAATCTTCTTGTGGAATTTTTTCCTGGATTAGAGCTTCACGATTGCCATTGTGGAAGTACTGTCAATGAGATTTAAAAAGGAAGCTCTGATAGTTAAGGGCCATGTAACAATTTTTTTTAAGCACGAGGTCATTAACCACCAAATTTCAATTTAGGTAATTGCATTCTAACTACTTAAATCCCCCTCTCCTGGAGATTATTTTTCCTTTTGTGAGCAGTCCTGCAATTTTGTTATGTGCTATTAAACAGCTGCCATATTGCTTTGCTGCAGTGCAGTAATAGGAGAAAGAACCACTCATTTCTTTGCTTTAAAATTGCTTCTGGAAGCATGTTTGTGTAGAGATGTGTGATGCTATCATTGCAAAAGTTGTAGATCCTAACTCCCTTTTATGAACAGGACTATGATGCCTGTGAAAGTCCATGTATTTGTCCCCAAATGGAGTATTTGCTGTGTTTTTGCTGCTGTAGTGAGTGGTGAAAAGGAGCCTGATGCTTTTGAGCTTGGTGATTTGAATGTTTTTGGGATGGCTTTACCTACAGCTCAAGTGAATGCATGAATAACTTTAGTTTATTGGAAGCAGGTTTATTTTTTAAATTTATTCCTAATCTACTTTATTAGAGACAGGTAAGTGCTGTTTCAGCTGGGTGTGCAATGCAATTCAACAAGCACCTGGAGCCTGGCTTGTCCCCTGATTAGAAAGGAGTTGCTGTGATGCAGCACATGAGCAGCCAGCCAGCTGGTTTGTTTAGGTCAATTTGTGCTTTGGTAACAGAAGGCTGGACCACTTGGAGCTGTAGATCATGGAGCTGTTGCAGCTACAACGTTAATACAGTCCTTATTTGAGATGTGGTTATGAAAATGGCTGGAAGATTATTTTTTTCCTTTTATTAAACCTAAACTCTGTCATGTAGGATTTGAAGTCAAGCTTGGATGGGGAATAGGATGAAAAGCATTAAAAAACATGTTTCTAAACCAACTGCATAGCATTTATCTTATGAATTTATAAAATGTTTGGGACTAAATAATGGGTATGCCACATGGCACCTTACAAATGGATTCTCATGAGAGGCTCTGCAGTTCACTGCTCTGTCATTTCCTTGCTTTTTATGTACCAACCCCTTGGTGAAGCTGTTGGCCCTTTGGGCTTCTGTTTTGCTCTCAAGCAGTGAAGTGTTAAATTTCCAGCTGATTTCAGTGGTGTGGGAGCAGCAGGTCAGATCCCAGGTGAGCCAAAGCTTATGTGCACACTTAATTTTTATTACTGGGAGCTGTGTTTCACAGAGTACTGAGCAGGGTGACTTCTTACAGCTGTGGCACGACTGTGTGCACTGAGGAGCTGCCTTGTAGCTCATTAGCTTTGAAATCCACTGAACAGGGCTGTGTCACTGTGCCTGCTGCCAAAATCCCACCTTGCTTCTGGAGATACCTTTCCTGTGGCTTTCACTGGTGGCATTGTCAGCTTGGACCGTGTGCTCTGTGCACAAGGAAACAGGACTGGCCTTGGGAATTTTGGTTGGAATCAGAGGAAACCTCAGCATTTATTCCCCACAGGGATAATTTATGTATGAGTCAGTGCAGCATGGGATGGCTGGTGATGGCAATAGTGGTGTTTCATGCTGGCACTGCCCCCTGAGAGCCAGTGCAAAATGAAATTTTGGAGAAGAAAAATGTGAGTGGATTGGTGCTTTTATTGGTGGCAGAGACAGGAGGTGCCACAGTGCATGGGGACTGTGGGCTGCCAGAATCTCTGCTTTTTGGGTGCTGTGTGGTCAAGGGGGCAACAACCCCACTGCTCATTAAGCTTTGGGTGAATGTGTTATACATGTAAAATATGCCTATGTCAGATACCAGTTTGGGCAATTGGTTTGTCCAGTGAAGTTCTCTGTGCACATTCTGTTGTATGTTGTGCTTGTTTCTGCCTTAAGTTTGTAAACTGTCAAATCCTGGACACACTGCTCTTAATGACTGGCTATAGTTATATAATAAGCATAATCTGCAAATTCATTGCAAATCTTGTAGTAGTTGATGACTGTCTTAAGATCTGAGTTCCTGTAATAATTTGAATTTTACTTTTCTTTTTCACGTGTGTTTGTATATATAAATAAAAATAATGATTTTCTGCATCTCTAGTAAGTAGAGAGAAGCTTGGAAATGTGACCAGAAAGTGTAATAATACATCAAAAATTGAGTGGCTTATGAATTTTAAGCAGCATTGATCATTCTTGAGAACTGGGGATCATGGCTTTCTGCTCTTGGGGTCATCAGTATCAGCTTTTAGGTGCAGATTTGAAAAAAAAAATTATATGTTGTTCATGTGTCTCCATTTTAAGGGCAGCTCTCCTGTCTCTCTTAAAAAGCCTCTCTCAGAAGACACATGAGGAGTCTGGCATTTATTGAGGACTTTTTACAGCTTTGTATGATTCTAGGTAACCTGGCAGGTGTTGCTGCTGCGCCCTCCTTCCAGCCAAGGAGATATCTCTGTACACCCCAGCCCCACCAAGTGCATGATTTATTTTTCACTGTGAGGGGTTATCTGACCCCTCTGCACTCCTCAACAGCCTGAGTCACCTTTGCAGTTTCTCGTGTTGCATGGGCAGCTGAGATGGCAGAGCTGTGCAGTGGGTGTGCAGGGCTGGGGGCACTGCTGTTCCCATGGGCGTGTGCCAGATGCTTGTCAAGCCTTGAGGGAGCAAGACTGCTTTAGGCTCTGCTGGGTTTTCTGCCACTGCCAGCCTCCCTGCTGGAATGGAGCTTGCTATTAGCAAATAAGGGTCACTTCTAATAAGTCAGTTGTTGATTATCTTGATTAATATGTGAAGGCACTGAATGCAGTGGATCAATCTATCATCAAGTGCTCTCCTCCCCTGTTGTGTTAGCAATGTGCCTTAAAGCAGACATGTCTTACCCTTGTGAGCTGACCCTTAATTTCCCTGTTAATTTTCCCCTTGGAAAGCTGATAGGCTTTACCCCATCTAACTCCACCTGTCTGAAAACCATCCAAGGTCTCTGTATGTATTTGAGAGACTGCAGCAGGAAATTGAGTGTGCCTAGCTGAGCCTCTCTCTTTAGAGGGTGAAGCAGATCTCTGGAAGTTCCTGTTCTTCCTTTAGCAAAGAAGTACTTGCTGGATAGCAGGCTGTAGCTTTTGCATTTAGGATTGCTATGCTTTTGGTTTCCCAGATGCTCTAGAAGAAGGCAAAGACAAGGAGCAGGTTTAGTTTTGGAAACTGCACAGTCTGAACATCTTAATATTTCCATAATGAAATACTGGGTAATCTTAGTTTTGTGGGAGAAGAAGAACTCCATCCACCTGGACTCTGGATTGGGGAAAAGTAATTCTCTGAATTCCAGCTTTTTCTTAGCATAGCTGTTTCCTGATTGTGGTTGGTAGACAGGTGGCAGGGGAAGCATGATAGAGCTCAGGGCCTTCGCAAGTAGTTGGGAAGGAAGTTGTCTCCACAAAACTAGTGACAAGGGAGGGCCATTAGTGCGGGTCATTTGAT